AGGTGCTCTCAGCCTGTCCTTCCTGCTTCAGGGGCCAGTGGTAACAGGCAGTCTTCTGCTATGGGGCACCTGGTTTGGTGGCTGCGTGGCAAGTGGGATAGTTACCAGAAACAGGGGCGACCTGTTTTGTCCTCAATATTATGCAGCTACTCCCCCGAAGAGCCCTGTTCCTAAGAGGGCCACACACATGCAGAGCAAAGTGTAAGGCAGAGAAGAATGAAAAGGAAAGTAGTTTGTGAACTCAAGATTGCTGAGACTGGGAGTCTAAGCAGATCTTTCTTCAGCAAGTATGAGGAAATAGGCAAGAGATATGGTCTTAACTTACCCTGTTTCCCCTAAAATAAGAGTGTCTTATATTAATTTTTTCTCCCAAAGTTGTGCTAGGTCTTATTTTCAGGGGATGTCTTATCTTTCCATGCACTAGGTCTTATTTTCGGAGGATGTCTTATTTTTGGGGAAACACGGGAAGTAGGAATTAAGTAAGCAGGTAGAATTACTGCTCTTTTGGTATCTAGCGAAGGTCATAATAGAACAGGGCGGAGCAGGTAGCCAGGGAGTAAGTGAAACCTGGGCGTGGGAAACGTTGGCTTTGGCCCTAACCAGTTTGGCTCAGCAGATAGAGTGTCGGCCTGTGGACTGAAGGGTCCCAGGTTCGATTCTGGTCTAGAGCACATGTCCGGGTTGTGGGCTCGATCCCCAATAGGGGGAATGCACGAGGCAGCCAATCAATGATTCTCTCTCATCATTGATGTTTCTAGCTCTTTCTCCCTTCCTCTCTGAAATAAATAAAAATATGTTGTTTTAAAAAAGAGAAAATGTTGGCTTTGGGTAGCTTGGCAGAATTACTCAATTACTCCCAGACGGAGTATCTTAATGATCTATTTCATAATTGCATTTACTTCCTGCATGCTAAATTGTGCCTTTATGAGTCCTCGTGCTTGCTTAGTGAAAAGCTCCAAACCTTTCTGGTGGTTCCCTGAAAGAGGCAGCTAACCACACATGTTAAGAAACATCTTCATGGTGTATTTAAAAAATGTAACTTATTTTGTACAAAATTCGTGCACCTTCTCTAATCTGGAACATCCCTCTCACAATTTGGGACTGCTGGCTCTTATCTGCTTACCTGCCTGCCAGCCTGATAACCCCCTAACCACTCCACTGCCAGTCTGATCAATGCCTAACTGCTCCCCTGCCTGCTGATTCCCCCCAACTACCCCTCCCTGCTGGCCCAATTGCCCTCAACTGCCCTCCCCTCCTGGCCTGGTCCCCCCAACTGCCCTTCCCTGCTGGCCTGGTCGCCCCCAACTACACTCCACTGCCAGTTATCTTGTGGTGGCCATCTTTGACCACATGGGGGCAGCCATCTTGTGAGAGGGTGTGAGGGTCAATTTACATATTACCTCTTTATTACCCTGTTTCCCCGAAAATAAGACAATGTCTTATGTTAATTTTTTCTCCCAAAGTTACGCTAGGTCTTATTTTCAGGGGATGTCTTATCTTTCCATGCACTAGGTCTTATTTTTCGGAGGATGTCTTATTTTTGGGGAAACACGGGTATATAGGATAGATTTCTACAACCATGCATTAAATGTGAAATAATCTGTGTCAAGGCTATTAACTGTTTAGCTTCATATTTTAGGCCATAAGGCTCACCTCAAACCTAACATATGAGCAGGTTATGTCTTTTGCAAAGGACATTGCCAATTATAACAATCTTGGCACAGAAAACCTAGTCACATGTTTATGAGATGGGGAAAAGATGGCAAGATATCTAGAGAAATATAATGTGGAGGTGAGAAAGGGAAAATGGTGCAATGTGGTCTTGAGAAATTTGAAACTTCTCAACTATGTGGCAACCACTCTTCATTTTAAGTTATTGCAAAAGTCAAGATAAGTTTCTGAAGGAGAAATGTGTTCCAAGTGATGGAAAGAAGGAAACATAAGAGAATCGGTAAGCAGAAATGCCTTCACTAGTGTATAAGTAATATATCTAAGAACTCAAAGATAGTGAAGTTCACATATAAAAAGGGGCTGCTAACTTTCCACATTAGTTAGGGAAAAATAAAATAAACTATTCCAGGGTGGGATAAAGGGATTATACCCAGAGCTAGAAAAATAGTGGTTCTTTAAAAAAAAAAAAAATTATTGTTGATAGTATTACAGATATCTCTCATTTTCTCCCCCTTCCCCTCTTCCTCTAAAATAGTGCTTCTTGATTGGCTAGTATACATTCATACATTAACCCTTCAACAAGTCTGTAATAAGCACCGATGATGTGTTAGGTGGATGAGCGCCCCAGCCAGTTTTGCTTAGTGGATAGAGCCTTGGCCTGCAGACTGAAGGGTCCTGGTTCCATTTCGGTCTTCTTTGTCCCAAGGAGATCCGGGAAAGGGTCTGGGGTGTTTACCGAAGGCGTCCCTTGAGATAAACTTTAACCGTGCAGGAGTTAGGACATTCAAGTAGTTGCTAGCAAAGAGGCTACTCTATGCAAGCAGGACCAAGGGCAGGCCTAGGACCAAGAAGACCGGGAGCTTTAATTTAAATTTTAAGCATACACAAAATAATTCAATTAACTGCCGGAGGAATCACACCACATGAAACATATGCAGTTGCAAATCACACAGCACTTGATTACCCACGTAAGTTCCTGATGCTGCCAGTACAGGCTGGATGAAGAGGCCGGTGGTGCTGTCCTCTGGGGTCTGCAGCTGGGCTAGGCTGGTCCGGATGCAGGGACCGACGTTCCTAACCCAAGGGGAGCTCGGTTGGGTCTCCATTGAGAGGTACTAGCCATTCTTTTGTCGTCTGTCAGGAAGAGGAGTGTGGAGCCGGTCTGACTGACCAAAGGACGTGCCTTTGTGGCTGCCTCGATAGGCAGGCACCGCGCTGGCCCGGATCTATTTTTAAAGCCTGTTCCGTACCCGCAGCAGTTGAGGTGGCTATCAATGATTAGGTCAATGCACACATGCTAATCTCAAACAGGGCGAGGGGCTACACGTGGTTATCTATGGAGAGTACATCATTCACACAGATGGTTATCTTGGCAAGTCACTCTAAGTCAGTAACTGAAGTTCAAATCCTTATCCCTGGGGTACACATGCTTCAGGGCAGTGGGGAACGTGTCCTTAATATCACACTTTAAGTTTCAAGGAAACACTTCAAAACCTTGCTAACGCTTTTAGACATTCTTTAAGCATTTTTAAACATTTCTACATTTCACTACAACATTCTTTTTCTTAAAGAAGACACTTTCAAATTTCTTGTGATACTATCAGGTCTAGTAATAAGTAATGTCGTTTTTTAACATTCGTTTAAAATCTTGCTTGGCGTTGACTTGTATTGACATAACCTTCAAACACGTGGTATCTACAGAACGTGTGAAGTGCAATTAACAAGTTTTGCTTGAAAAAGTTTGTGTTTGGTTTGGTTTTTGTTGCAAAACTAGGGCTAAGAAGATGGCGGATGAAGAGCATATTTGGCACTGCATGCTTTACGAGTTCCAATTAGGAAGAAAAGCAAGTGAGGCTGCAAAAAACATCTGTAGTGCTCTTGGTCAAGATGCAGTTAGCGCCAGAAAATGCCAGCGTTGGTTTGAGAAATTTCGCGAGGGAAATTTTTTGTTAGATGACAAGAGTGGTCGAGGCCGTGTGTCCAATTTTGATCAAGAAGCTCTTTAAGCTCTTTTGGTGCAAAATCCTCAAATTACCCAACAAGAGCTTGGACAACTTTAAATTGTTCACAAAAAACAATTTCCAATCAATTGCGTGCACTTGGCAAAGTCCAAAAGTTTGGAAAATGGGTTCCTCATGAGTTGACCGACAACAACCGTAATCAAAGAGTCACAATTTGCAGTTCGCTCCTCTCTCGTCAAAACCGTTTGCCGTTTTTAGCCGGGACCGGTTTGGCTCAATGGATAGAGCGTCGGCTTGGGGACTGAGGGGTCCCCGGTTCTATTCCGGTCAAGGGCATGTACCTTGGTTGTGGGCAGATCCCCAGTAGGGGGTGTGCAAGAGGCAGCTGGTCGGTGACTCTCTCTCATCGATGTTTCTAACTCTCTATCTCTCTCCCTTCCTCTCTGTACAAAATCAATAAAATATATATATTTTTAAAAAAATCGTTTGCCGTTTTTAGAGCAAATTGTTACCGGAGATGAAGAATGTGTGCTGTATGTTAATTTGAAAAGGCGGCCTCAATGGTTGGACAAAAATGAGGCTCTGCAGCCCACGCCAAAACCTGACTTGCATGCGAAAAAAGTGATGTGTGTTTGGTGGAATTTTAAAGGAATTCTTCATTATGAACTTTTACCATCTAACCAAACCATTACAAGTGCAGTGTATAGTGCCCAATTGGAAAGGTTAGCCCAAGCTTTAAGAGAAAAACAACCCGCGCTGATTAATCGGAAGGGCGTAATTCTTCACCAGGATAACGCACGACCGCATACTGCAAGAATCACTGCTGAAAAACTGCGCCAGTTGGAATGGGAAGTTCTCCCTCAACCTGCATATTCTCCTGATATTGCCCCTTCCGATTACCATTTGTTTCATTCTTTGCAAAACTTTCTTCTTGGAAAAAAATTTAATAATGAAGAATGCCTCAAAAATGCATTGACCGAATTTTTTGCATCAAAATCACAAGAATTTTACAACAGAGGGATTAAAATGCTTCCTGAGCGTTGGGCACAAGTAGTAGAAAACAACGGCAACTATATTGTTGATTAAATTTTGTTGTATTGTTTAAATAAATTTGATTTAAAAAAAAGGTATTAGAAAATGACATTAATTATTACTAGACCTAATAGTTTGATGGTGGTGAACTCCGTAGTTATTCTTGTCTGGAAAGCTCTTTATCTGTCCTTTGATTCTAAATGATAGGCAGTAATAAAAACAATGAAATCTTGCCATCTACATCAACATAGATGGATCTAGAGGGTATTGTGCTGAGTGATATAAATCAGACAGAAAAAGATAAATGCCATATGATTTCACTTATATGTGGGATCTAAAAAACAAAATACACGAACAATCAGAACAGAAACAGATTCATAGATACAGAGCACATTTTGATAATTGCCAGATGAGAGAGGAGTTGGAGAGGATGGGTGAAAAAGTACAAATTGGTAGTTACAAAACAGTCATGGGGATGTAAAATATACAATAGCACAGGGAATATAGTCAATAATATAGTAATAATTAGTATGGTGTCAAGTAGCTACTGGAAATATTGGAGGGATTATTTTGTAAATTATAAAAATGTCTAATCACCAGGTTGTACATCTGAAACTAATATAATATTATATGTCAACTGTAATTAAAAATTAAAAAATTAAACATTTAAGATATGATTTTTGATAGTAAAGATAATATTTGTTCATTGAAAAAGTTAAGAAAAAATAGTTAAATATATAAAAGAAAATAGCAATCACTCATAATCCCAATCCCATTATCCAGCACAAAGTTTGCTCATGTTTTGATGTTTAGACATACATACCTTTTTCTCTGCCTTTTTTTTTTCCTTACAGAAATAATGTATACATATTGTTTTGTAACTTGTTTTCTCTACTTTAAATACCATGGACCTGTTTCCATGTTTATTAACATAGATCTATATTCTCACTTTAAATAGCTACAAAGCATTCCATCATGTGGCTGAATGACAATTTATTTAACTTGAACTCTAACTGAAGTCCTTAACTATCTTTCAGGCTATCCTCCAAGCATATATATTCAGAAGGCCCTCTCTGATTTTGTGAAATCAGAGGAATCTGTCAGAATTAAAAAATGACACAATGTTTATTTCAAAGAGCAATTTTAGAAATGAGAGAGGTAAAGGAAAGTGAAATGGAAATGATTGATGAAATAAATATTTTGCAATTATAACTATTTTATAGTAATTTCTTGCAAATGAGATTTTACTTTTGTATCCTTTTAATCTCTGAAAGTGTCTGAGAGACTTAAAATTAAATAATATTACAGTACACCTGTTTAGGGTGAAGTATCAAAACTTCTGCAGGAGGACTCTCCACCCTAGAGTTTGTGGACCTATCTTAAAGGTACTGAGGGGTCAGTGCTTCCTGGAAAGTCATTTATTGGGCCAATCAATCAAGGAGAGATTGCACTGACCTGGACCTTGATTGATAAGGAAGTCAGAGTTAAGTGTGGACACTAAACTTGTGCAGGAATGATGACCATGGGATATGAGAGGACCATGGCTGTTCTGAACCTACTCGGTAGGGCTGTGTTGAAGTTTTGAGAATGTAAAGAGGATATGGTAGTCACTGGAGAAGTGGTTAAGATTAGGAAAGAGGTCAGGGTTTGGTTGACCCTAATATTATACAAGAGAAACTCAAGCTGTGGTTTGCAGAGAGAGATGGATGTGGTTGTCCGCCTAGGTGCTCCAGAGGACAATGACTGAGGTGATGAAAGTGGCCATGAAGAGCAGGTAGAGGCGGAACAGCAGGGTGTCCATCATGTGGCTGAACTGAACCCACAGGCTGACCAAGTGCTGCTTCTGAGCCTCATCTTCCTGTTGGCACCTTGTTGACTCAGGGCACCCATTTAACTCTGCCTCTTGGAGACCTGGCGCCTTCTCCACCAACTCCACAGGTTCCTTCAGACCTACAGAGAAAAATAGACTCAGCCATGGGAGGGAGGGGGCTAAGGGAGGAGGCTGAAGCAGAGAAACAAAGGTGTTGGAGGAGAAAGTGTGGGCAGTGCCGACTTCCTTACCAGGCAGGTTGGCAGGGGCGAGACCCAGACCCTTGTTTCCCTTCTGGGGTGCAGTGGGACAGCATTTCATTGGGCTGGTGCAGTGCAGAAGCAGGGAATGGAGCCACCGGGGCATGGGTGGGGGCTGGGTGGTGGCCAGGTGCAGCAGGTAGGTGATGAAAATGGTCTCCAGCAGGCTGACCACCATCAGGGACAGGCACAGAGCAAAGTAGACACCTGGAGACAAATGCAATTATAATTAAACTAGGGTGGATCATCTCTACACGTTTCTTAAGCTTCTTTCCCCAAATCCAATATTCCCCCAGAAAGCCTTTCCTCCTTAAGTGGAGAGGCAGCCAGTACTCTGGGTTCCCTTCTCTCTCCTCTGCTGCCTTCTCTTCCCCAGAAAACGGGAGGGGCCATACTGATGAGGGGGGTGCCACTGGCAGGGAGTAAGTCGTTCATCAGGAGCAGGAAGACGTTGTAGCCCAGCAGAAGGGTTATCTTGAACGGGGCACGGCTCTCGCTTTCTGCAGGCAGGAAGAAGCTGAGGGCATCGATGGCCATCAGAAAGCCACTGGGCACCAGGAGGTTTATGATATAGAGTCTGGGTCTGCGCCTGATGGCCACCTGGTGGGGAGGAGACAGTGTGGAGAAATGCGTCAATTAAATTGATGCTAATGGCTCAATTGTCTATTGGACTCTAATCTCTGCTGATGTGCAGTTTGCCTGGTTACGGGATGATGTCTTTAGGTAACACATGCCCTTCTACAGAAATGCCTCCAGTTTGCCTTCTAATTTTCATTTGTGTCCAACCTGCTGGGAATACAACTCTAGATGTTTAGGGGAAAGTAGGTGGTTTTTCCATCGAGGTGGGAACCCGGCTGCTCCTCTTCTCTGTAAGGCAGAGGCCCTTGGGGATCCTTCTTTAGGACCATTGGGGTATAGGTTGGAGTGGGGAGCAGGTGCTTAAACCCCTAAAGCTTCTTTTTATATCTCAAGAAGCCTTGGATAGAGAGAAAAATCGCAGAGCAGTTGGGATAGGAAGCCAAAGAGTGATTCCTGGACTTACATAGAACGTGATCTGGTCATACACGTTGCTGCCCACAAACATCTTTAGGGTGGACTTGGTGATGCCCAGGAGCTCCCACTCTCCCTGGGTCTGAATGACGTTACGAGACGTATCTGTTATCTCCCACACTTCCTTGTCCATGCCCAGAAGCATGCTGTCCACTGCAAGGGGGTCAGGGCAGCTCAGTCCACAAGTTCCTAAGCCTCCTGCCCACAAAATTCAATTCCTCCCCCACTGAGTTTCTTCAACAAACTTTCCTCTTTGCCTTTTTAAAAGCAGGGCATCAGGCTTTTTCAGCAGTGGGTTCCAGGACCAGCAATTCATCTGTGTGTGCTGCAGCACTGATTTTGTTATTGTTGTTGAAAACAAGGATGAGTCAAAGTTGTTATGGGAATTTTGGATGTGACTCAAACGAGAGCCATTCCCATTTTCCTTCTCAATTCCCCAGGAGTATGGGGCTGTTTTAGTGGAATCAATCATGAACAGCTCAACATTTTTATCATTACCTGTATGCCCACTTAATTATTGATGTATTCAATTCTGCCACGTGATACCTGGTGGCATTCAGTTACATTGATTTAGTGTTTTAAGTGTGTTAGCTATTAAAGTTAAAAGGGTTGAGCCAAAAATTATAGAGGTTTAGTAGCTCAGGGTCAAATATGGTGCAAAGGCCATTTAAGACTAAAACAATAGTTTGGTGGCTTAAAAAAAATTATTGAGGAATTAAAGCAGTAATTCTTAACTCTGCACACTAGCAAAACCTGGGGAGATACATACAAAATAACAGTACCGCCTAGTGAGTGTGGCTCAGTGGTTGAGAGTTGACCTATGAACCAGGAGATCATAGTTTGATTCGCTGTCAGGGCCTTTGGGTTGGGGCTCAATCCCCATTAGGGGGCGTGCAGGAGGCAGCTGATCAATGATTCTCTCTCATCATTGATGTTTCTATCTCTCTCTCCCTCTCCTTTCCTCTCTGAAATCAATAAAAATATATCTTTTTTAAAAATATATTTTTTAAATTATTTTTTTACAGAGAGGAAGGTAGAGGGATAGAGAGTTAGAAACATCAATGAGAGAGAGATATTGATGCTTCCTGCACACCCCCTACTGGGTATGTGCCCGCAACCAAGGTACATGCCCTTGACAAGAATCAAACCTGGGACCTTTCAGTCCGCAGGCTGATGCTCTATTCACTGAGCCAAACCGGTTTCGGCAATAAAAATATATCATAAAAGTTAAGAGCATCTGGGCCCCACTTGGAACAATGAAATTGTTCTAAATGGAGTTATTTGGTCTCAGAAAAAAAATATGCTCTAGGGTGTTGTATAGTTATTGCTATTTTTAAAAGCTTTAATGAGCAGCCAGAGTTGAGAAACACTGGTCTAAAACTTTCCTTCATAATACCAACACCACTTATTGTCTTCCTGTGAGTCCAAAATAGCTGCCAAAACTTGTCTCACTCACCTGTGTAGAGGAAGGAAGTGAAGGTGAAGGTGCAGTTCTGTTGGTCAAAAGGGAAGTAGAAGATGTCCAGATTACAGATGCTGGTCACCCGCACTGGCCTATCGTACTGTATCCGACCGTCACTGCTGATGTATGCGGAGAGACCTGGAGGTGCCCGGTCCACATCCATGCTGTTTTCGAGAGGAGAGATGGGTGCTATGGGTGCCTGAATCAGCCTGTGTCTCCCTTTCTTCCCAGGCCTTCCCTCTGGGCTCTCCTTGTGGGTTCTTTCTCTAATGTCCCTCCATGTCGCCTGTGTTACTCCTCATGAGTTTTGTGGGAGTCAATGAATTGAGGCCGTGCCCCTGTCTGAATCTTTTGGTGTCCCCGACCCCTGCACTTGATCCTAGGGTGTTCTTTTCAGATGGGCTTCGTACAGGCTTTTCCCAGCCCAGATACGCACGACTCCATAATGAAGATATCTGGAAGCCACAGGTTTTCTGCTGATACAGTGAGTTTATTGACATCGACACACTCTTCCGGGTTCCAGCTGATGAAAGGATTGTCCCATATCTACAGGCAGGGCAGTGGGAAACAGAGGTCCAATCAACCTCTCCTATTCTTCTTTAGACTCCGATCCTCTAACGCCACTCATGTCCCTACTGACCACATCCTACCTCCTCCTTTATCTAGCCAGCTGTCATTGGAAAAATACCTCAAAATGGCCTTTTTTTCCAGGCAGCCTTTAAATATAGTCTAATATCACTTAGACCCAGGAACACGCCAATAGATTGGCTTATAACCACTTGGCCATGTTCTTGGGTCACCATTTCTGCCTTCCTAAGATGCTTGGGGAGATTTGGGTCCACACTGTTCTAAATGGAGTTATTTGGTCTCAGAAAGATTTATACATGGGCTATAGGTTTGGACTGGAAAACCTTAAAGTAACTCCTCAAAAATCCCTTGTAAATGGAAGTGGGAAGGGGATAGTTGAAGCTGCCTTACCAAAACAATCCACAGGAATGACGTCAGAAGCTGGAGATGTGCATCCTGTTGAAGAAATTCCCACCCAGGGCCATTAGTGCATGAGTGCAGGAAAGACTTGTCCTGCTCCCAGGTCATAGTCTTAATAATATTGACTAATGTATTGGGCAAGGGATAGTTCTAAATGTTGGACTGTCTAGCCAAAACCGGTTTGGCTCAGTGGACAGAGCATTGACCTGTGAACTGAAGGGTCCCAGGTTCGATCTGGTCAAGGGCATGTGCCTTGGTTGCAGGCACATCCCCAGTGGGGGGTGTGCAGGAGGCAGCTGATCGATGTTTCTGGCTCTCTATCCCTCTCTCTTCCTTTCTGTAAGGAATCAATAAGATATATTTTTAAAAAAATAAATGTTGGACTGTCTTTTCCTTACTTGCCTCCTCTTGTATCTAGGTACTATTCAGGTTTTAATCAACAGACAGATCACTTCCTTTTAGAGCTTTCAGAAAGAACAGGACTCACGAATAAATCAGTCCTGAAAAAAATACCACTGCAGCTTTCTTCTTTATGCTTCCCCATCCCATAAGGAACCCCTCTATTTACACAAAATCCATTCCGAGTACCTATTGCCCACCACTAAACCAGTACAATGCTGGGTCGACGGGACAGAGGATCCTTGTGCCCTATTAGAAGCTATGGAAAGTGGGGACCAGGCCTCACCACTTCCAGGATGGCAGACAGGGTGAAGGAGATGTTGACATGAGTGGGGATGCTGTAGTTGATGACTGGACGGAAGGCCTTTCTGTCAAACACTGCTTGGAAGGCAGCAGGATCCACCCCATGCTGGTCAAACCCTGAGCAATTGATGGTGAAAGGGTCGGCTCTTCCTGTAGAGAGCAGAGACTCTGTGAGAGAGGGTCTCCATGGCCAGGCCGGAGCCCCTTTGCAGAGAGAGAAAGCAGGGGACACACTGGGAGGAACAGGTGAACCCTTCTTCCTGTACCCAAACAACCCAAGGCCAAAGCCCTTCCTGCCAGGGTCGGAGGATGAGCTGGTCTGGTAGGCAAATGGTGGAAGTCCATGTGGTGAGCTGAGTCAGGGCTCTATCCTCATTCCCATTGTTTCCTCCTCATGCAAAACCTGCCTAAACCTATATGCAAACCAGCCTTTTAGTGGGCCCAGCACAAGGCTTTTGGGCTCTTGGGCCCACCAAGTAGACTGCCCTAAAATGGGTAGTTAGTCTTCTCTGATGTATTTCTCTTTTGCATTTCTTCCTCAGGGACTTCTGCGAGAACGGATGCATCAAAAAGATACGAGAAGCAAACAGCAGCACTGACTAGGTGGATGTGGGAAATACGTAGTAGGTATTCTGAATGGATGTTTACTTTGAATGTATGTATTTTTATGTTGCTTGTCTCAGATTTAGTGACCCCAGACATGTTGGGGTTTGTTTCCAGCACTGGAATTATTAGGTGATAGCACTGAGCGTATACTGTATGCCAATCACATAGTGAGGCCTGTGTGGTGTTGTTTCTTGGCTGTGGCCAGGGAGTACCTGAGCAGAATCTTTGCCCCATTTTCATCTTTGTTCTTTTTCTCTGCCTGCTCCTCTTCATCTCCATTTCCTTTCATACTGTGGAAGCTATGTACCCTGACTTGGAACAAATATTCCCCTGGGGAAGCAAAGTATCTACCGTATTTTTTGGACCATAAGACGCACCGGACCATAAGACGCACCAGTTTTTAGAGAAGGGAAATGAAGAAAAAAAGATTCTGAAACAAATAGTGTCCTAAAATATTTTATGTGCATTAAAACCCAACATCACAGTCATAAACACATGTAATCAACCCTGTAAAGTAAACAGCAGCATTTAGAACCATTTTAGAGCCGGGCAAGCACACAGAGACCACACAGAGCCGGGCAAGTAAAAAAACTTTTTTTATAAAGTATATGTGTAGGCTATATTTGGACCATAAGATGCAGGGACTTTCCCCCCCCACTTCTGGGGGGAAAAAAGTGCGTCTTATGGTCCGAAAAATACGGTACTTCCTTTTGCCTCAGATTGTCCCCCACCTTCCCTCAATGCTTCACTTACTCCTTCAGGGCATGTTTAAAACTAGTTTGCTCTTCTCATAGATACCATATGAAAGGAAAAAGAGATAGGAGAGTGGTGGAAGGAGCACCGGGGTCAGTGGAATGGTGGGATTGGAGAGGTGGTGAAATGGGACTGTTTGGTAGGCCCCTATGCAGGTAGGAATAGAGGAAGGCTGCATGCCCTAATCAGTGGAACGTCTTTCTATCTGTCACCAAAAGGGAATCAAGACACAGACATTATGGAAGAAATATTTAACATCTTAATTCTGAACGTCCTCCAAGTACTAGAGGGGAATTTCTAGATGTCCTTCAAAACCACACTCTGGTCTTCCCTGTTCTTGCCCCGTCTTACCTTGATGCAGAAGGCTGACGGTGAGGTAGAGGAGGAGTTCCCCCCCAGGGGGCCACTCCCCTTCCATCTTTCTCTTCTGGATTCTTCTCTGAGGACTCACCAGGAGCTCCCAAACCCTTGGGCTTAAAGGAGCTCAGACCACACTTTGGATCCTGGTTTTGAATACTGCTTATGACAGGTGACCACTCCCTGGTGAGGGCTGTGGCCAGAGAGGTCACAGCAAACTGTTCTGCTTTGCCCTTTACCTTCAGGCTCCGGGCAGGGAGGAAGTCAGGCCAAAACTAAGGGAGAAGGGCCTGTTTTGGCTACTCTGTGCTGAGATCAGTAACAAAATAACTTGCCTTAGTGAGGAGTGTGGGCAGAGGAAATAAGAATTTTGTTCTTCTTCTTCTTTTTAAAAAGAAAAATATATTTTATTGATTTTTTACAGAGAGGAAGGGAGAGGAATAGAGAGTTAGAAATATCGATGAGAGAGAAACATCGATCAGCTGCCTCCCACACCCCCCCTACTAGGAATGTGCCTGCAACCAAGGTACATGCCCCTGACTGGAATCAAACCCAGGACCCACTGAGCCAAACTGGTTTTGGCAAGAATATTGTTCTTGTAAGACCAAGTAATCTGCAGATTTGGAAAGGTGACAATATTTAAGGATTTGTTATGTATTCACTAGGTTTAATTGCAAATATCAAATTATAATTTTGGCTCATATCTTCATTATCTATTGTTTATATTTTCCCAACACCATTTATCTAGATTTCCTCTTTCCAATCTCTCTGCCTCCCTGATTCATTCTCTACCAAATCAATGTTCCGAATACATTTTTTTTACTCTATGCATTAATTACCTGACACTAGAAGTCATAATATTAGCAAATAGCAGAGCTGTTTTTAATGTTTTATGTTATCAATAGTTTATACATTATCATAAACTAGTAATCTCAGATAACATCCATATTAATGGCATGTATGGATATTATATCTTATGTCACACCTCTATAAAAAACAATCAGATGCCGAAAGAGTGGATTGAAGCATTGTTTTGTTACATTAGTTACATTTCCAGAAAGACTTGGAAATTTTTTTCTTGCAGAAGGGTAAAGTTTCTTTTAGAATACAAAAGAGACTTTGTTCAGAATGAGAGATCATGACAGCACTCACTAGAAAGTGCTGAGGAAGAGGGTAGGAATGACTCAGGGGCCCAGAAGAGGAAAGTACAGGAGAGAGGGCTGTAATATCTTCCACTTGGAGATGTGCCATGTGTGCAGTCTTTCAGCCCACAAACTCTATACATCATTTCTTTCCTTCCTTAGAAACTTGGTCAAAAGATTGGGCCATCGTATCACATAGGACCAAAGTCCTGCTATGTCTGTATCCACATGGACACATACACGTGACACAGGGGACTCCTGGACTGGATAAGAGAGAAGAACTTCTTAAAAATTATTATAATTTTTTTTAAAAATATATATTTTATTGATTTTTTTTTTTTACAGAGATGAAGAGAGAGAGAGATAGAGAGCCAGAAACGTCGATGAGAGAGAAACATCGACCTGCTGCCTCCTGCACACCCCCCACTGGAGATGTGCCTGCAACCAACGTACATGCCCTTGACCGGAATCGAACCCGGAACCCTTCAGTCCGCAGACCGACACTCTACCACTGAGCCAAACCGGTTTCGGCTTATTTGTTTTTCTATTCCAGTTTGCACTCAACACTATTTTTAAAAACACGCTTTTAATGACTTTTAGAAAGAGAGGAAGGGAGAGGGATAGAGAGATAGAAACATCATCCATCAGCTGCTTCCCGCACGCCCCCTACTGGGGAATCAGACCCAAAACCTGGAATGTGCCCTGATCAGGAATGGAACCATGACCTCAACGGCTGAGCCACACCAGGCAGGCAAGAATGAAGGATTTTTGAGGGGTGCTTGAGTTCTGTAGGTGGGCTAGGCTACCAGATTTGGGGTCCAGGAAAGGAAGGTTAGCATCAAGCCATGCTGAAAGTGGCTGAAGATGGTTGATGTAGATCTCGTTTTTATCCAGGTTGGCTGAAAAACTGCACCTAAGTCTACGGATTGGTTTCTGAAGTAAATTTAGCTGCCAGGGGATGGAGATGATAGGGGCAGGAGAAATAAAGTAGTCAGGCATGGATTTATCCTACCTAGGGAGTCAGAGTTGCAACTCTGGGATCTGGAAATCTCAGGTAATACTGCTGCTGGTGGTAGAAATGATAACTAACATTGAGTACCTTACCGTATGCCAGGCATTGCGATGTCTTTCTTACCTACCTCACTTTAAGTATGCCTCCCAACAATCCTGTAGCACAGATATTAGGCAAGAGTATGCGGTAAAAGCAATGTGGCCAAGGAAATAGATGGCGATTGGACCTTATATTTTCTGACCATATTTTAAAACACAGTAAGTTTGAGGAAAAATAAATCTTATCATTAAAAAAAAAATGAACACCCCCAATTAATTGATCACCCTATCTAATGAAGAGGGAATATGCAAGTTGACTGTCATAGCCACCATCAAAATGGTGGCACCCTGTCTCCTCAGCCCTGCTGAAGTCCCACAGTCCTTCAGCCCAGCCAGGGGGGCAGCAGGCACATGGTGCGCCCAGACCCACCCTCAACCCCCAGTCACCCAGGGCCAGACCAAGGCACAGGCAAGCCTCGGATGATGGCTGCCCAGCCACCCAGTGCCGCCCTAGGCTCAGATAACCAGGGCTGGCCAAAGCTTGTGCTGCCAGGAGTAGCCCCAGCAGAGGTGTGATGGGGACATTGCCTTCCCCTATTTGCCGGTTCACCTCCCACCCCTGAGGGCTCCTGGACTGTGAGAGGGGTCAGGCTGGGCTGAGGGCCCCCCCCCCCTCCTGTGCATGAATTTTCATGCACTGAGTCTCTAGTCTTTTATAAGAAACATCTGAAATGATGAATGAGAGACCATATTTAAGGAAAGCAATAAAAATGGTAGTACTTAAAATAACGAGGGTTGCAGGTTTTCTAATGCTTACAGCACATAACAAGCCATATAAGACTCACATATAAGTCTCGGCATGGACATGGGGCTCCTTTCAGCCTTCAGAGATCTTGGGTGTACAGTATACTTCCCACACTGGCCAGACCTCCATCTCAGTCAAATAGTTAAGCACCTGGAATGCTTGTTTGGAAGGCCGGCTCTCAGAGTTCATCCCAGGACAGAGTTCCTTGTTACAAATGTGCTTTGGACATTCCTCCTGGGTGTGCCTGCCTCCTCCTCCCCTTCTCCAGTTGGCTCTCTGATATTTAGACAGGGCTTCAGTAGCTGGATTATCATTTTCTAAGGCCATTAAGGAATAGCTTTACCCTCCATTCCCAAGAATATCCTGGGGAGTCCCTAAAACTCCCATTTTAGCTCCAGGCACATGTCTGTCCTAAGCCAAGCTGTGGGCTTTCATGGTGACTTGGGATTAGGAGGTGGTTCGGAAACTCTTAGCTGATTTGGGGGTCACTGTGCAAGGGCCAGGGACTTCCTCCACATTCCCTGCTTTCTCTGGGCATCTTTGGAGTCTCCATCTTGGTTTCACATATCTCTAGGACTCTTAGGCACTCAGCTGGGACAGCTGTAGACAGAGGCTTTGAATTTGGACTTTAACTGCCTCCTTGGGCAAATCTGAGGCCAGTTAAGGTCTCCAGTGAGCCTGGGATTGCCCAGAGCAGAGATTCCCATTTGTGGTACTATTGACATCTGGGCTGAATATTGATTTTTTTACAGAGAGGAAGCGAGAGGGATAGAGAGTTAGAAACATCGATAAGGGAGAATCATAGATCAGCTGCCTCTTGCACACCCCTCACTTAGGATGTGCCTGCAACCAAGGTACATGCCCTCGACTGAAATCGAACATGGGACCTTTCAGTCCGCAGGCTGATGCTCTATTCACTGAGCCAAACCAGTCCCGGCTGGGCTGAATAATTCTTTTTTGGGATGCTGTCCTAGGATTGTAGAATGTTTAGCAGCATCTCTGGCCCCCCAGATGCCAGTAACATCCCCCTAAACCAGTTGCAACCATTAATAATGTCTGCAAATATTGCCAAAGGTCCCGCTGAGGGTAAAATTGCCCACTGTTGCGAACCACCGGCAACTTGGATTCCAAGGGATTTAATACCTTTGTTTATCCCAAATGATTATAGGATGGCCACCATGTCCTCTCCTCTCATTCCTTGTTCTGACTGGCAGGGCAACTTCTGGTCTATCTCCATGGAATTTCCAGGATGCACAGTGAGTAGTCATCTGAGTATCCTTTCCAAGCTTCTTGGTATTAGTATCTGATGTCTCCATGGCTGTGCTCTGGGGAATCAGGAAAAGTGAGGTTGGGCAATAGAGTCCCCGAGGCTTCAGGCTACTGAGGCCAGAGGCACAGACACTGGGTTTAGGACCCCAGGTGAGCTACAGTGTCTAGCGTCCAGAGACAGGGGTCCAGCGTCCAGGCCAGCCAGCAGGGTCTGGGGAAGTAGGCTTGAGAGCTTGCTCCACTCTGAGAGGTTGGTAAGTATCATCTTGTTCAGTTACGTAGGCCCTGTGGAGGCACCAGATGGGTATCGTCCTTGCCTGGGGCACACATCTTGTTCTGGCTGAGGGCTACCCAGGGTGTCTGAGCAGAAAGAATCACGGAGCTTCAGAGGGGCCAGAGGCTGGGCTCAGAGCACTGGGCATGCCTTCAGGGGTTAAGGGATGTCAGCAGTGGTTTGAGGTAGTGCTGAGGACATGGCTGGGTTTCTGAGTCTTTCATATTTGGGAGCAGTCTTAGACCTACTAGTATTGGAAGATACCATCAGCCTAGGGCAGTGGTCGGCAAACTCATTTGTCAACAGAGCCAAATATCAAGAGTACAAAGATTGAAATTTCTTTTGAAAGTCAAATTTTTTACACTTAGACTTCTTCTAACGCCACTTCTTCAAAACAGACTCACCCAAGCCGTAGTATTTTGTGGAAGAGCCACACTTAACGGGCCAAAGAACCGCATGTGGCTCAAGAGCTGCAGTTTGCTGACCAAGGATACTCAGGGGATGGGGGTTTCCTAGGAATCTTTGTTTTCCCCTGGGGTTTCCTTCACTCCAGTTGCAGCTCAACAATGGGCACCCCCAGCTGGGAAAGCATATCCTTCATCTTCATGCAGCATAAGCCAGCCTTTCCAGGAGTGTAG